GCGCCAGTCATAAAAGTGTATATGAATACGAGATCGTTCCCACGAGGATTAGATTTCAATCATTAGTTCACTATTCGCGCTTTATTTGGACAATCAATTACAAGAATCTTTGAAGTAAAAATTAAAACTAAGCAATAGCACACAATTTCATAATTAAAAGCAAGTAATTAAAAAGAAGTGTTTTGACAATCAAGAAAAGCATAGTTAAGTTTTCAATTTCCCTCAATTTTCTCCTTATGTTATGAATTAAATCTTATTGTAACTGCCCTTAATATAATGGCAATCGATTCCTCTAATTTAATTTATGCTCAATTCCTTGATACCCTAATCCTATATGATCTTGAAAGAACCCTAGTTCTCTAGTTATTTCTCAGGAAAACATGCATTAAGATCAAGAATTACAAGATTGCATAATTACCCCATGTCTATTCCTAGATCACAAAAATTATGATGAATTTATCAATTCAAGGTTCATGTACCAACATCCCTATTGTCATACAATCACCTTAAATCAATCTACAAGATCAAACTTATAGAAAGTATTAAGTCAAGATAAATTCATTCAATTATAAAAAGAGAAATTATAGAGATAATTTAATTCATAACTTAAAGTATTCAATTAGGTTGTATCTACCCCTAACTAGATAGAAATCTAGCCTAGCATAGCAAAATCAAAAACAAGAGAAAGCAATAAAAGTTTCCCAAACTCCATTGGTGTGATGGTGTTTTGAATCCTCAAGACTCCCGGCGTGTTCTTGAAGTCAACCTGCTCTCAATGCTACAAAGCATGAAAGACGCGCTTCTATGACCAAAGTAGGGTTCAATCTTCAAAATTGTCAAAATCCTTTAATTGGTTCTGAAATTCTCCTTTTATAGGTGAAAGATCCATGCCCTAAGTGAATCAAATAATTTGGGCCTAAATTGGATCGTGACAATGTGCTAAAGTGCTGATTAGCACACTGAGAACCCCTTGCAACTCTGCATGAGCCCGATAAAGTGCCCTGGGTCGCGCTTTAGCGCACTCTTCGAAAGGAGAATTCTTCATGATGGTGCGTGTTAACACGTTGGAGCACGCTGAAGCGTGCTATTCTAGTGGCTTTTGGATGTTTTGCTCCATTTGCGTGCTTTAGCGCTAAAGCGCGCTACTCCAATCTTCAAAATATTTCTATAACGCACTTTGTGGATATCTTTGATCTTCAATATTCCACTCTAAGTCATTTACTTTATTCTTATGTCAATTTACCTTCAAAATCAGCAAGATCAAGTTATGTTAGATAAAAATTCAACTTTCATACTTTTTCACTATAAAACTTAAGTTTTCATGCATTTGACTATGTACTTCATAGGGGTGTTCATAAATCGATTCAAATCGATTCAAACCGCGGTGACTGAACCGAAAAACCAATAACCGAATAAATCGAAAATCAAAAAATCGAAAACTGAAAAAAAACTGCAAATTTTAATTGGATTGAATCGGTTTTTGGATGGGTTGATAAAAATCGATCCAATATATTAATTTCCCTCTACCTACTTGGTCTTTCCCCAATCATAGCCCAAAAAATTCTAAACTCAAGACCCATTAACCCATTAACCCATTAACTAAACCAAAGAAAAAATCTAGTCACATCTCATCAACAAAATTTTATCTTTGTAGAATTTCATATCTCATTGCTAAAAAAAAAAACTATATTATAGTTTACGAATGCTTTTGTATTTCAAAAAAAAAATTACAAAGCCAATATATACAAAAGATGTTATTTGCACAATAATCATGAAATAAATTTTAGGATTTTCAAAAAACCGAAAACCAATCCAATCCAAACCGAAAAAAATTGGATTGGGTCGGATCGGATTTGAAAAAAACTCCCAACCGAATGGATGATTATATGATCAAATCGAAGGGATTGGATCAGATGATTTTTTCTTCCAAAACCGATCCAATCCAGATCCGCGAACACCCTTAATACTTCATGTGATATTAGCTTTAGAAACATAATAAACTAAAGATTTATCACAACTTTGCAAGTAAGAGTAGTTTCAATGACGGAATTGTTAATTTATTCGAAGCTAATTTTTTTAAATATTTAAATTAAATGGATCCATCCAGTCATGATTTTTTTCTAAAAGGAATTAATATATATATATAATTAAGATTAATTATGAAATGCTGTAATTGTGGAATTGAATTAGGTTAAAAAATAAAAAAAATGTAAAAGATATCATATATAATTAAGATTATATTTTAAATATTTTCTTATATGTCATGATCTATTTAGAATAAATAAGTATTGCATCATATTACCAATTTATACTAAATATATTTTAATTTAGTATAAATAAAAATATTATTTGGTTTTATCCTTTCCAACTTACCTGTCAGTATTCAATAAAATTGTCGAATGGTAACACGACCCAAATAAGCCTCATTTCATGCTGTGACGTGATAAATTAAAATACTAATACGTGTAAAATTTATTTTAAATTGATGTTATTGTTTACAAATTTTAATTTTGCTTAATGAAAAATATAAAGGATAATTTTTTTAATAATTTATAATAGGTTTAGGCATTCATTAAAACTTCTTTATTTCATAACTTCTGGGCTATATGATAAATTATACAAAACACATTATCTAAGTTAATGTTCTCTAAAGTGATTAAGAATAATAAAGACTATAAAGTTTTCATGACTGGTTATATTATAAGCATTTCGTGTATAAGGAGAAAATCATTTCGCATCGAATAATAAATTTTACACTCAATTTTAACTATTAATCCTACTTGTACTCACATTATTAATGAATTAAAATTATTAAATATAAGTGAGATCAATGATTAATAATATGTGTAAATTTATACCAATGTAAGTTGATTAATCTCTTTTTATAACAAATTATTAAATATATATATATATATATATATATATATTAATAATTTTATGCATTGAAAGAGTGCTATTTTTTAATTTTATAATATAGAGGAACACTCAAAATTGAAAAATAATAATAATAATAATAATAATCAACAACCGGGTAAGTCGGAATAAGTTAGAAAACCATCACGATATAATAAATTCGTCAACTATTTTTTGTTATTTTAGTAACAATATAAAAATACAGTGAGAATAATATTAAACGAGAAGGTTAGGAGTTGCTCTTTAGAAAAACAAATGAATTTGAATTTTCAAAGTGTTGGATATGTTTTCTGATCTCAATTCTTATAAGGGTTTAACTTTTCTTATGTTGTAGGATTGTAGGAGAGAAAAAAAATAGGGAGAAGTTAAATGTGGGTCCCATATTTTATATTAAAAAAGAAAAGAAAAATTAATTGGCACGGAAAACGAATTTGTGTAAGAAAATGGGAGTATCTCATGTGGCATGAGAGTATTATTTCCCTTCTTATAATCATATCGAGAATGGTGGCGAGATTATGAGTGGCGGCCAGATCATGACACAAGGAGGACTAAAGTCTCTTTCAGCAGAAACAAACAAAAACAGGAAGGAAAGACCGCTATTACTCTTTTTCTTACCCATTAGCAAAAGTTTCTCTTTTTATAAACAAGGATACAGAAATTGGGTTTGGTAAAGTGGAGGAGAGCATTGAAAAGAATGATACCGGGTCCCCCCAGCTTTTCCTATTTCAAAAAATTTGATGATCCCAAAGTGTACGTTCTAAAGGGCTATCATATCATTGTAGTTGAGGTTCAATGATCCGCACGTTAGTCCTGTTCACACACCTGACACCACCTCTTGCGTTTTGAGTTGAGGCTCAATGATTCACACGTTGGTTCTTTTTCTCACACATCATCCCCATGCTTCTCTTGCGTAATAATAAGGGAATTCATTTAGTGCAATAACATATTTTTCACCCGCCTATCACTTTTCTTACAAAAACTAAAACTTATAGATACACACAATTAAACCGGAGCTTCTGACCAATGTAACGGAAAATCATATCAGTTTAATTTTTTTATTAAATTATTTATCAATCTATTGCGAGAGGAAAAATATAAGATCTATGCAGACTTATATAAAAATTAACGCAATGCAAGACATATATTTTGATATTTAATTTCACGAAAACTCTTTATATGCATATTGCGAAGAGACATATGACAGACATATTTTGATTTTTATACGAGTCCCATATAAGAGTGACATATGACTTAAACTCACTTTCTATATAAATTTGTTTGACAAATAAATTAAATTGATAAAATATGTAATTTTCTATTATATTGGTGAAAAAGCCATTAAATTGTGTATCATAAATGAGAATAATTCTTTAGTGCAACTAATATCAGTGTGTCTGTTATTTATTTTGTGACACGTATAAAAAAATATCACATCATCTAATCAGTTGTCATTTAATTTTTTCTTTTTTTAGATGATGAAATATTTTTTTGGACATGTTGCACTAAAGTTTTATTCCATAAAGGATGATGAATTTGTCGTAATATTACTCTCATGTCAAAAGCAACGCGTCCTTTCTTTAGGAGCGGAAATTGTTTCCAGTGTAAAGAGAATCCAAGATCAAGAAACAGTAATGCAAAACCTTAGAATAAAGACAACGCTACCAATCGTATTAGGAGAAAACTAGTAAGTACCAAACAATGTATAGAATTACGTCTCTTCTTTTATAGCAAAATTGAAAAGTTGTAAACAACGGAGTCAAACTGTACTGGTCCACAGGACCCATATATTTATTCTGCTTTTAATTTTCTAGTATAGAAAATGTTTCACAAACCAATGGCAGCCATCCTCCACGATGCAATGTGGACCAACCTGTCGGTCAGCAACTCATAAAGTTAATTAATTAACCATGCACCTGCCTGTTATAAAAAAATTCTCCAAATAACCACACGGTTATTGTTTCATATCACTTACAAGATCACAATGACTATGAGTATTCTCTTTGATTATGCTATAATTAGTGGTACTCTACCCACAACAACAAATGTATTTGTATTCTCCATTTCTAGTCTTGTACTTATTTGATCAGGATCACTTCCACCATCAAGCACCGTAGGAGAAGACCCATAACCCACTCAACACTTAGCTCATTCTTTCCTTCTTCATTTTCTATCCAGAAAATAGTTCAAAATCTTAGACAAAGTTCAGAAACAAAGACTAACAAAGTCATGGTAGGTGACTATTGACCAACGAAGTGTTAACCAAGACCAAAATTAGAATCTTTAAGACAAAAGCTCACATGGGTGCCTCTCTTTCAGCTTGGTTTTAGAGAATTTTCACTCCAAAATCGGAAATGAATTCCCTTCTTTTCCTCCTTCCTCTGTTTCTATTGGTTGCATTTCCCAGTCCGCAACCGGTTCATGGAAATGCAGAGTTCAGAGCACTCATGGACTTGAAATCCTCTCTTGACCCAGAAGACAAGCTCCTTGAATCGTGGACCACTGATGGTGATCCATGCAGTGGTTCTTTCTTGGGGGTTGCATGCAACGAGCACCACAAAGTGGCCAATATATCGTTGGCCGGAAGGGCTCTTTCCGGCAGGCTCTCTCCGGCGGTGGCTGAACTCAAATGCTTGTCAGGTTTATACCTGAATCACAATCATCTGTCAGGGGAGATACCGAGAGAGATTTCAAATCTCAATGAATTGGTCGATCTTTATCTCAACGTGAATAATCTATCTGGAAGCATTCCTCCAGAGATCGGGAACCTGACTAGCCTCCAAGGTTAGTATACATTATTGTGGTAGTTTATCTGTTAAGTATGGTATATCAAGTTATCTATCCTCAATTGCGGACCTAGAAAATTTAGTTAGAGGGGAGAAATTAAAATTCACTCTAACTTAGACAGGGCAATACATTAGTGAGTTGATAAGTATCAGGATATGAAGAACTCTCCAAGTTTTTTTGGTACATGAGAAATAATAAGGATGAAGGGACTCAAAACTTATGTTAAATTGCCTTTCTTTTAAGTTTGCAGTCTAACACAAAGATTTGATGAACTCCTAGCTCCATCACTCTCTATTCTGGTTTTGATTTTACCAAATAAGTTGTTATGAATTTTAAATTCATGTGGATGGATATAGGAGGAAATATCTAACTTCTAGACGTACAATTTGGGTTTATATGCTTTGATAAATGGGGGAGAAAAAAATACTGACGAGAACTGTAAATGTTCTTCTGCATCCCATGATCAAGTGGAATATTTGGTATGACCATTGTTATGTGTTTGATATACTTGAGTCTGTATTATTAAGTCCACTTGTGTTAGATATGAATGATACTTGGAAATCTCATGTGTCCTTCTTGGAATGAACGAAATTAAGCCCCTTGTAATTGATTATCAAAGAGCCTACTTGGTGTCAAACTTGAGAGGTTTTAGTTTCAGTTCTGTATGTTATCCAAGTTCCCTTGTTCTTTATTCGTTCAGTGCTGCAGTTAGGCTATAACCAGCTAGTGGAGAACATACCTGAGCAGATGGGTTCGTTGAAGCAGCTTAATGCTCTTGCTTTGGAAAATAACAGTTTAACGGGTCAAATTCCTCTAAGCTTGGGAAACTTGGAGATGCTAAGGAGGCTAAATTTGAGCTTTAACAACTTCAGTGGTGTGATTCCCGCAACACTAGCTTCCATTGAGCACTTGGAATTTCTAGATATCCAAAACAATTCTCTTACAGGGACTGTTCCTTCTGGTATGCCTCTACCCTTGCAGCAAAATTCACATGTTTTGAGCCTTCTCCCATCCTAAAACTTGCTTTCTTTTTTCTCTTTCTGCATTTGGACATGTACTGATTAATGTTTTCAAAATGAAAATGAAGCATTGAGGAGATTACGTGAAGGATTCCAAGGTGCAAACAACCCAGGTCTCTGTGGAGCTGGGTTTTCTACTTTGAGAGCTTGCAAAAATAATGAATTTTATGTTAGCCAGATTGGTAACTCAAATAATGTATCCATATACAATAATCCTCCAGAAAATTTCCCGAAGCCTGCAAATAGCCAGTTGCATTGTAACCAGAGCCATTGCTCAAAATCAAGAAGGCTTTCTCATACTATTATTGAAGCAAGTGTTATCACTATCACTATCACTATCATTTTCATAGGTGCCGGATTTTTCATTTTTGTCAGATATCGCCGCCAAAGACAGAGGGTTAGGAATACATCAGATTCTTCTGAAGGCCAACTTAGTCCTAACCAGCCTAAAGAGTTTTACAGAAGAAGTCCATCTCCACTTGTTAATCTTGAGTTTTATTATAATGGATGGGATTCATTGGCTGATGGTCAAAATGCCAGTGGATTATACAATGAATATTTAAACTATTTTAGGTTTAATGTTGATGAGGTTGAATCAGCAACACAGTACTTTTCGGAGGCCAATTTATTGGGTAAGAGCAAATTCTTAGCAGTCTATAAAGGAGTTCTCAGAGATGGTTCTCTTGTGGCTATTAGAAGCATTAGTGTGACATGCTGCAAAACTGAGGAAGCTGAACTTGTAAAGGGATTGAGCATATTAACCTCACTGAGACATGAAAACATTGTTAAGATGAGAGGTTTCTGTTGCTCAAGGAGTAGAGGTGAATGCTTTCTTATCTATGACTTTGCCACAAGGGGTAAACTGTCTCAATATCTTGACATGGAAGATAAAGCAATTTCTTTAAAAAAAGAAGAGCAAGCCACCCATATGCTTGAGTGGTCTATGAGGGTTTCTATTATCAGGGGCATTGCAAAAGGTTAGTTCTTGCTGACTCCCAATATTCTCTCAGCAACTTATCCAATATGGGTAGGGATGAAGGCAATTTTTGTCCGCAGTTTTACCTTACCTTTGTATATTTACAAAGAGACTATTTCTCGGATTTGAATCCGTGACCTTTTAAGTCACTAATGAGCATTTTTAGTGCTGGTCTAGCTCGCCCTCTTAGGCAGCATTAGATGCTACTTTAGATAATATCTATTTCTTCTTTCTGTTTGATATTAACTATTCCTTTATGACCAGGTATAGAGTATCTGCACAGCAATGAAGCTAGCAAACCTACAATAGTACACCAAAATATTTCAGTTGAAAAAGTTCTTCTTGACCATCAATTTAACCCATTGATCATGGATGCTGGCCTCCCTAAGCTTCTTGCAGATGATGTTGTTTTCTCAGCACTGAAAGTAAGTGCTGCCATGGGATACCTAGCTCCTGAATATATTACTACTGGACGCTTTACTGAAAAGAGTGACATATACGCATTTGGGGTTATTATTCTTCAAGTTCTATCTGGGAAGACAACAATAGGGGGTTCAATCCGTATGGCAGTTGAATCATTCAGATTTGAAGATTTTGTTGACACAAATCTGAAGGGAATATATTCTAAATCTGAAGCAGCAATTCTTTCAAAGCTTGCAATCCTGTGCACTAATGAGCTTCCTGACCAAAGGCCAACCATGGTGGAATTGATTCAAGAGTTGAGCATGTTTCCTGCTCATTCTTCATGATCTACCACTTTCTATGTGTATTATGAGACATTGAGACCATGTCCTTAACAGTAACTTAAGATACTCAATAACTTGTTAATAATCTTAGCTTAACTCATGAAGTTTGAAGAGTATTCTTATATTACTCTGCCTGCAACTCATTTATTAAAGCCCAAATGTAAATCATCACCTTCATCTCTCATTTTTGACCTTTTTTAAAGACAAATTATAAGAAATTTAATTTAAATCTTTTTAATATACAATTTTAAATCATCACCTTCATCAACTTGAGGTTGATGTTGCTGTTTAATATACAATTTGTAATTAGCATTCCAATTGAAGACCACATACTTTTTTTTTTCTACTTTATCATGTCATTTTATTTAATTATACAACTCACCATTAAAGAGCAATTTTATACATAAGGAAGTAGATCATATGAGATTACTTTTACGATAAAAATACATATTAAAATATGTTCGTATAAGAGGATAGACTAAAGATTTGCTATGCGGTACGATATGGAATGGCAAAATATGAACCCTTCTCGGGTTTGGTCCAACATCTGAAATTTGCCTTTTCTGACTTTCTGTAATATAGCCAAGAGCCCAAGAGGATTTAAGCCGAATCTAAACGTTCAATTTAGCGAGTGTTTGTTAGGAGGAATTTTTTAAAATCCCCATAAAAGTGGTTGTAGTAACTAGTAATTCTATTTATTTATATTTGGTATAAGATTTCAATTTTTTTTTTCACAAAATCTGATTTTCTCAGGATTCAAAGGATGGTATTTTGCAAATTTCATCCTATGGGAATATCTTATAATTTTTCGGGACAAAATTAATCCTCTTTTTCTTCGTTCTTCATCTTGGTTGTGTTGTTATTCGTTCTTCTTCTTCTTCAATGAAGGGTGTCAGCTTGAGAACAATCTTGTGCAATTCGATTTGGCAAAATCTAGATTGGGGTTCAGCTCTTTGCTCTTTGGAAGCCAAACTACATGTGGAAACTTCAACTTCACCTCCACCGCATAGAACTTGCCTTTGCCAGTTTAGCATCGTTGGCCATATGTCCGGTATTTTTTTCTATACATCGAATGTACCCACTTGGGTACATCTTTTTACTAAAAAAGATAAATTTTCTTCTCATTTAAACTCACACTTTTGTTTTTATTTCATCTCTATCCTAATTTTTTACTTTTTTGGGACCGATACATGGTGCATCAGTAGCACCAAAGCTTCGCTCCATAGGTCCAATGAACGGAACAGTGACCAAAATGTCACTGTTTATCAACTTTTTTACCTAAATGTCACGCGAACAGTATTATTTCCCAATCTGCCACGGGGGCAAGTTCGTTACCCGGTGTAGCGAACTCGGTTTGCTGACGTGTCACGTTTCTAGTGGACACCAAGTTCGCTACACGGGATAGCGAACTTGGTTTTATACTTTTATCTACTAGGTTTGCTGACGTGTCACATTTCTAGTGGATAACAAGTACCAAGTTAAAAAAAATGTGAAGTTCGCTACATTAGGTAGCAAACTTGCTCCCGTGGCAGATTGAGAAATAATACTGTTTGCGTGGCATTTAGGTAAAAAAATTGATGAAGAGTGACATTTTGATCAGTGTTCTTCCAATGAACTATAGAGGATTGCATTTTGGAATGACAATGAAAAAACGCTGCTCTTTCTCTCACACACACTACGGTTATTTTAGTAAAACTACCCATATTTATAGTAATATTTTATAATCAATTAAATATTGAATTAAAAAAATTAATCCTATAATTTTAGAAATATTTTGATCTACCAAATAATGTTTTGATAACATTATCAAAAAATTCATTTTCCTATTGTAGCATCGAGAATCGTGATTTTGTGGTAATTTTTTTTTTCTTTATCAAATATCTGATTTAACGTCTCTCATATTTTAGGAGGTATTACATGAGGCTCATTTTTTTTTTTCTTCTTATCTTTTTACATGACCTAGTCCCACATATTTTCAGATAAAATTATCCCTTGCCTAAAGAATATGAACGAAAGATGGACAAAGCCCCAAAACGAGGGGTTGAGAAAAAAAAATGTTCGGGAAGAGAGGATGGACGAAGTCCAAAAGTAAGACAAGGTATTCTGTTGCTTAATATATAAGTGTCTATTTGAGTTTTTTTTTTTTTTTTTCTTCTCTTTATATTTAAAAATTTAGTTAAATATTATTTTACACAACCTCTTATCATAAAAAAAATTTATAATAAAAAAGTTAAAAGCTTTTTGGAAGAATTTTTTTTATAGATGCATATCAATTTTTTAGAGTTTTCATATTTATTTTTTAATTTTAACTTTATTTTAAATTTTTATTTATAAATATTATCATTTACCTTAATAATTTACACTAATAACAAACTGATTAATCTTATGAATAATTTTATATAATTATAAAATAGTGTTTACTTTTTTTCAAAATTTTAACTTAAAAAAGTAATTTTTAACTTTAAAAAATGTGTGAAACAGACTCTAAATTATTTATATTAATTTTTAATATTGTTTAGGTCAAAGTGTCCAATTACTTTCTTATCTAATAGACTTTTTTTGTTAAATATTTTTTATGCCAAGTATCGCGGGTGACTTGGTCTTGCTTCTGGGTCACGAAATGTTGAAAAGTAGACTATTGTACTCTCCTAGCAACGCGGTGACGTCTGCTATTATTATTATTATTTTACACGGTCACAATTCAAACAATGAAATCTATGTATCTCAGGCTCCTAGCCTGCGTAGGACGACACGCGACACGCGACACGTGACACGACACGACACTCCGATACGTCAATCTTAAAAAATTATGGATTTTGACACGTTGAGACACGTTTTAATATTAAATAATATTTTTAATTTATATAGTGTATATTTCATTTAATATTTAATAATTTAACAAAAAAATGAAACTGAATTAATAATACCCATCAATAAGTTATAAATATGGAGCTTTAATAAAAAAATAAGAACTGGGATGAGAGAGATATATAATATCAGATAGAGAGATCAAATCATATTAGAGAGAGATCAGAGAGAAGAAGATACAACAAGAGCGTGATAGGAATTGATAACAATGATGCTGAGATGATCTCTTATCTACTTAAGGAGAAAAAAGACAAAAAGACAAATTTAATATGATCAGGTTGAAGCTTTATTAATATATTTTAACTTTTTAAAAAAAAATTAAAAATTAAAAAAAAAAAAAAAATTACGAAAATACCATTTGACCGTGTCGGACACGGTCAAATTCGCGTGTCGGAATGGTCAACGTGTCGGAAAAAGTCAACCGCGTGTCCGACACCGTGTCGGAGCGTGTCAGAGCGTGTCGCCGTGTCGGAGCGTGTCGGACCCGACTCTTCCTGTTTTTACAAGTGTCCGTGCTTTCTTGCTCTTAGCTATGAACATTTCATTTCATATCACTTATCTGGACGATTTTTAAGATGTGTCCAAAAAATGTTTACAAAAATGTGTTTGCCTCGTATGAGTATTTTTTTTATTAAAGGATTATGGGAAAAAATTTATGGGAATTTCTTAAATTATTTCTGAGAGTTGCCTTTATAGACCGGTCCTTCAGATTATGTTAGCTTGTTTTGAATTGCTACTTGATGGATTAGTTATATGTTATTCCGAGATGTTCTTTTTTAGACTAAAAATTAAGATGTCTATTGACGTGTATTTTTTTTCAAAAAGAGCAAGTAATTTGAATGGCGTAAGAGAATCAATGGTTGAAAAGAATTATTATTAAATGAGTTAAGTGATAATCCACCATAATAAGTGGACTCAATACTATATTTTAATCCAAATATATGTTTCACTTATATGATTCTCCTTTAGTTTATTTCTAACTAATGTGGGACTTCACTATTCACACTTGGATTCAGAATATTCTCTTCCCTGAGTCCCAAGCACACATTTATTTTTCCTCAAGCAAAAGCATCTTCGAGTATTCGTGGGATTACATTAAGGCTCAACTACATTCATCAGGTCCTTGACCTCCATAGCATGGTTTGGAAGAGGCTTACAAACCTGAATATTAGGTTTACACCATTCAATCAACCATTGACTCTAATGCCATTATTGGGTAAGAAAGGGAGCCAATTGGTGCACATGAAGGGATGAGTCGGATGACACAAAGAGAGTCAATCCAAGTCCCAGTTGGCCTAGTTACAAGAGCATGGGCAAAGAAATCAAAGATGTACTTAATAGGATGATTGAAGAATATGCTCACAAGTCAACTTATCATCCATTAAGTGTGGTCTCCATATGTCAATCAATTATTGACTTTGATATCACTGTCAGGCGGGCTAGGGGAGCTCATGGTGGGAAACCACCACTAATGAGCTTAGCTAACCCAACAACAATAAGTGGGCTTGACACCACGTCTAAACCCAAAACATTTAGTCCATTACCGACCAATGTGAAAGGTTTACAATCTCGAACACCAACTATCATATACAAATACTCGACTCACATAAGTCAATCAACTATTGACTCCAATACCACTGTCAAGCGGGCTAAGGAGAGCTCATGCTATGGAACCACCACCAATGAGTTTAAGTTAGCTCAACTATAACAAGTAATTCAACATTATGTCTCAACCCAAAAGGCAAAAAAAAATAAAATAATGCATTTAAATTAAATAATTACGCATTTAATGTTGTTTTGTAAAAAATTACACATCTACTGCACAATGTGACGCCACTTTTGGGCGTCACATGTGACGCCCTAATGGGGCGTCTTCTCCAGGGGAGAGACGCCTCATTGGGGGGCGTCACATGTGACGCCCAAAAGTGGCGTCACATGTGTGCTCTATATATTTCCCCACCCCTCCATTCAATTCACACCTCTTCTCTCACTCTTCATATCTCTCTTCTCCACCAACATTCCTTTATCTTTAATTTAGTATTTGAATTTTATTTCTTATTCTATTTAAAAATGAGCTGAAATCCTGATTCTGTTCGTGTTGTGTTATATTACAATGGTAGGAAGGTAGAAGGTCGACGAGGTGTTATCTTCGAAGGTGAAAAAAGGCCGACACGTATCCAACGCAACACAACCATTGGTGAACTGCATCAGAGAATTCGGCAG